GCATTGAGAATGTAATCGCGCAAAACAGCTTTGGCAAAAATTAATTATTGCAAACATAATGGCTCGGCAAAGTATTAAAGCATAGTTTAAAATAGCTCGGCAGCGAACGTGTTACAGGGTTATTCATTCTTATATGCGTGTCTATTCATTTTTATATGCACCTTTATTCATTCTTATATGTGCATTTATTCATTTTTATATGCGCATGTATTCATTCTTATATGCGCATTTATTCATTTTTATAAGCGCATTTATTCATTCTTATATGCGCATTTATACATTCTTATATGCGCGTTTATATATTCGTCAACCACACATATAAACAATAAATACTAGGGATGTACCAAAGCTGAAATTTTGCCGAAGCCGAAGCTTCGGCCGAAGCCACTTTGCCGAAGCTTCGGCACTATATATGCTTAAAATTTAATCAGCATTCAGATCAGCAGGGGTGTAAAACAAAAAAGGAACCAAAACTAAGGTCCTTGACTAATAATATAGAAAAATTGTATAAAAATGAGGACGCCAGTCAGGGTTGCTGTTCCAGGCAGGGCAAAAGCTCTCAGCGCCCCTGTTTAAAAGTTTCTCATTATGTCGTTTCTGATACTTGACCGCATCGAGCGTTTTTTTTTTAAACTTAAGCTTTTTTAAAACATTCTCCCCAAATTTTCCTACTTCTAGTTCTACTTTTTCTGTGTGCAAACCATATTAATGTTATATAGCATTTTTTCATGTGCTGTATATTTTATTTTTATTTTTAATGCACCTTTTGTTAAATAGAAGTGGATAAAAATCTCTGAACATTACTAGAGTAAAATTATCTTTTGCACTTGATCACTCTTTCTTTAAATAAACACTCTTAACTGATCTAGTTGTATCTACAACATAAAAAATCTTAGAAACACACTTTATCTTTTTATTGCTATTTATTTCAATATCTTTTTTTTACTTCTCTGTATTCTTTAAACGAACAATTTCTAAACTAAAAACAACCCAAGTTAAGACCATTTTGGATTCCACTACAACTGTTGTGCTCCTGCTGTTAAAAAAAAGTACAAATGATAGATTTCTCTCTAACTTCTTTTTTACACACTTTTAAGTATTTTTTTTTTGATTATTTTCAACTTAACACTACATAACATTTTCTATAGCTTTTTTTAATCTTTTATACTTTGAAATCTTAGTATTCATTCTTCTTCTGTCTCTATAATGGATAAATCTGCATCAGTATCTGAAATCAAATATTAACTATCTGTGATAAAAACTTCCAAAGTAATCTAACAACTCTGTAGAGTGAGCTTTAAATAAAATAATAAATAGAATACTTTATAAATTTTTTATTAATAATTATATTATTATTTACTTTATATTTATAAATAAACAGGGACTTAGCAGGCTGATATTTATTTGATTTAAATTGTTTATTTAATTTAAACAAATTTTGATGATAAATATTAAGAGTTCAAAGTAATCAAAGCTTCAACCTTTAATTTATTTTAAATAAAATTTAAAAGTCTTCATAATATCATAAGAAGAAACCAGAATATTGGTTTATATGTTTAATATATAAATTCAATTTAGAAGTATTCATAATATTAATAAAGGAGCAAAGATAGTTATTATCATTGTTTTTCTTTTTCTTTTAATTTATCTAGTTTTTGTTGGCTTTTTATTTTCTTTTTTTATTCTCCTCGTTTATATTTCATTTGCTTTTCTTCCTTTTTTGTTGTTGAGAACTTTTTGTTTTTTATGTGTCACTCCATTGACTATTTTGTATCTATATAAGTGACACCTAACCAATTTCTGTAAATTTACGATGAAAATTTGTAAATTTTTATTAATATGGTTAAATAAAATTTTAAAAAATTAAACATACACACAATTTAAAATAGTAGCAACGTATCTTTAATCTTCTTTAATCAGAGATTACTAAGGTTTATCGGTCAAATGTTGAAACCAAATTTTGTTCTATTTGCGGTAATCCCACACAATAATTAATATGAATTCGTTATTAAGGTTTTAAAAACTTTTAATTTGTTTTAAATTATAAGGTTTTTATTCTGCATAGAAATGCTGCTTCAGTTCATCTAAAGTCACACTTGGAAGCTTTCAAAGTGTTTGAGGACCTTCCTTAATTTTATTATTTTTTTCAAAAAATTTTTACTTATTTATTATTATCCCCTCCATAACAAGACACTTGGGAGTAAATAATACTAAGTATATGGTATAGACTCCAACTTTAACTCTGTAGTCCTAAATTTATAACTTTATTAGACACTGGCAATTAGCTTATTTTTATAACTTGTCCCACAGTAGCTTATAACTTTAATTAATTAAAATTTTTTGCCGAAGCCAAAGATTCGGCAAAAAATTGACCTGGCTTCGGCCGAACCGAAGCTTCGGCAAAATTGCCGAAGCCGAAGGGTTAGCAGACTTTAACATCCCTCAGAATTAGGCTGTATTTTTCGGTTACCGTTTCTAATTTTATTTATTCTAATAACCACGTGGTAACCGCGAAAAACATTAAGTAGTTAAGATTTTAAAGATTAATATAAGGTTTTTTTAATTAAAAAAATTAGAAGCATGGATGAATTAAGTAGTTATGAAAACAATGTAAGTATGAGTAGTTCTGAAGATACTATTTCAGATGAAAGTGAAAGTATAACAGGTTTTTAATCAGCATTTTATCTTATTAAATCGTTTTATGTAGGTTTTTAATCAGCATTTTAATCCTTATTAAAAATGACATATGTCATGTTTAATTAGGATTCACGTAATACGTTTATGTACAAAAACGTTATCTTTGTTGTTTAAATAGCCATAAACATGTTTTGACAACAATATTTAATAGGATTAGGTAAACCCTAATAAAAATAGTATAATGTTTCATCAACAAAAAAGCACCATTAAATGAAAAATTTTTTGTTGATGAAATAATTAAAATATAAACTATAAAATATTATACTATTTTTATTAGGGTTTACCTAATCCTATTAAATATTGTTGTCAAAACATGTTTATGGCTATTTAAACAACAAAGACACGTTTTTAAATTTTTATATAGATATATTAAAAATATAAATTAGGTTGTTTTCATTTTTATTTATTTAAGAAATGGTTGGCGAGCCAGCGCTGGATTTATGTAACTACATATGGTTGTAAAATGGATTTATATTAAACTCTGTAGTATCCATAATATTTTTAAGTTTTCTGATTACCTCATCCGCTATTTGAGGTCTTTCTCCCTGTTTGTAAGTATGTTTTAAAAGAGAAAAAAATTCTTCTATTGGATTAAGCTATGACGTGTATGCTGGCAGATACTAAGATATAGATAATATAGCTATACCATGTGAGGCTAGTGTTTGCCTAGCAGAAAGACTCCAGTGGAACTTACAATTGTCCATAACAAGCACCGGCGCTTCCACATTCCCAGCAAACAATAGACGTTTTTTAGACCGTCTAAAATTGGTCTAATTTGTATCTCAGAGATCGAAAAGACGTCTGATTCTAGAGATATTATTTTTGCTCTGTTTTAGATGCATATAGATGCATAAAATAGATCGTGCATAGATAATTTTTTTAGATGTCTATAAGATGTCTTTTATAGATTTGTTATAAAAACAAGAAAAATATTTTAACTAATTTTACGAAGCGATAATTATTAATGACTGCCATTTAAAAACCCTGATGAAACTTATTTCGAAAAGAGCATGAAGATTTTAACCTATGGAAAACATCAATGATTATTTCTTTTAATAAATTTTAAATAATAAAATAACATGCTATTATAGTTCACAAAATATTTCGATGATTTGATGCTTAGCATGTTTGCTAAAATCCTTGTGAAAAATTTATTTTGCAGAAATATTACAAAATTAATATTTTTAAGTTGATTTTTATTTCTAGAATAACAGATAATGTAATTAAAATATATGTATATATATATATATATATATATATATATATATATATATATATATATATATATACATATATATATATATATATATATATATATATATATATATATATATATATATATATATATATATATATATATATATATATATATATATATATATATATATATATGAGTGTTTTTCAATAATACAAAAGATTGTTTTATTGGTTGTGCACTTATCGTTTTTATCGATGAGCCAAGATTCATTTATGTCTTTTACAAAAAAGGCATACTAAAAGAGACGCAGTAGACGTGTCCAAAAAGAATATTAAAAAATACTAGAATTTTCATCAGTACATATAGAAAAAAAATCGAATGTTGGAACTTCTAAAAGAAATGATTTTTTATCTTGCGAAAATCTAAAAGATTATTTTGACCATCATGAGTCATTGATTTTGTACAATGAATACTCTTATAACCAAAAGCCTAATGAGTATAAGCATAACCCAACTTTAAAGGATAGTTTTTCTGCATGTTTTTCTAACCAAGTAATTATGCACTAAACAAGTGGGTTGACAAATAAGAATAGCAACAAATTTATTGTAATAACAGAATAGCAACAAATTTATTGTCCCAAAAAAAACTATAATCATGCACTGAAAAACAACCTTTCGTCTACAAAAGAATGGCACAAATTTCCATTGATAAAGTATAAGATAACAGATAGTCAGTATCCAACTTGTTTTGTGTTTTTTTTAAGGTAACTTAATTACTTTTTTGTAGCAAAATGTTTTATAATTAGATTCATTTTCATGTTGTAAAGAATACAACTTTCTACATCAGATGAGATATATGTTAAAGAAAACATTAAAAATAAGAATAGCAAATCATACCAATCTTCATTGCCAGAACCTCCGCCACCTATTATGAATAAGCCCAACGCTAAAAGTATAACATAAATATCATATTTTTTTATTAATGGTTTATAAACTGAAATAAATTCTTGTTTAATTTGATCTGAATAATATCTAGCTATTAGTCTTTTTTATGTATTACTAAGATTTTCTTTTTATTTTAACTATTTGGGTGTCCTATTATATGTAATGTTGTTAAATTGGTTACATATATTTATATCATTGACAACATTCTATTGTATTAAATAATCCTTTAATCAACTTGATATGAAAATTGAAAATTGATTAAAAGCATGCTGAAGTTGTTTGAATTCAGAAATTGAAAGAGTACAAAATTGGTTGAAAGATTAAATTAAGTAACAGGTATGGTTGAGGGATTATTTATAGTTCTAATTATAATTATTTCTTTTGAATAGAGTTGTTATCAGATTCAAAGATTGAAGAAGATAATTTTTCTTCACATTTAATTGATGAACAGAATAAAACCAAGCAAAGTTCACATTGTCAAAAAGTTTCAAGTTTTAATATGAGTATTTTTAGTTTTACACCACTGAATGTTAATACGGAGGTCTTTTTTTATTAATTTGTTTTTGTATTAAAATAATTGTAAAAGATAGGTATAAAAGAATAGAAATGGATTATTTATAATATCGTGATCCGATAAATCATGTGTGTAGCATTTTACCTTTAGTAGTTAAACAAAATTCTTTAATATCGTAACTTTTTACACGATAAATTTTTAGCTAATTTAAAAAGTAGGTTTTCCAAAATATTATGGCAACTTCTGCGATGGAGTAATTAAAAAACTTACATGTATTTTTGGAATTTTAGTTTGAGTTACTCAAGCATAATTTTAATTTTAAAGTTCTTATTTCATTGTTTTGCTATTTGGTTTTATGAGCTAAATATGTTAATCAATCTTTTTATTCTTGTTTGTAGAGATGCAAAATGTTATTCTCAACGACCTTGCAGAAATAAAAGTTCTTTTAAAAGAAGTTATAGAAATTAAGTTTCAAGCTACTGGGGTGAAGTTGCTAGAATCAGTGGACGAAGTGGTTACACTGGATAATAAACTTAAAGATAAAACCGAGTATACTAATTTGGTATAATCTAATTATCTTAACTTTTAATAAGTTTGTTAAAATTTGGTTTACTAGTTTAGAATCTAAATGAAAAGTATTTGTAAATGAACTAAAATAACTAGCTTGTGTTAGACTCAATATGTTGTAAAGAAATTTAAGTTACACTAGTTTTTTATTACATTTATTTCAGCTTGATAGTTTGAAAAAGATTGGTGGTGGAAAGCCAAGAGAACATGTTTTTTTGATCATGAAAAGGTAAATGATTATGTTTTTATTAATTATTAGAAATATGATTAAAAGGGACCAAAAGCAGTTCATTTTAACCGTTATTTGTTATGGATTTACTTTTAACATGACAATTTAATAAACTCGGGAGCTTCACTGTAGGTGTTTAAGTTTGTTTGTGTGCTAAAGTAAGTGTAATGGTAAACCTTGTTTAGCATTTTATTTTTAAATTTAATGCTTTTACTTTTCATAACTTTAAGTATTCATATATTAAAATATATTTTAATTTATTACATATATTAAAATTAAAATTTTTAGAAATATATTTCAGTTTATTGTTAAAATATTTATCAGGTTATTTTCGAGTCAGTTACAGTCCAAATTTAATCGAAAAGGAAATGGGGAAAAGATAAGCATAGAAAATCTAGTAAATATATGGAGTGTTATACGAGGTATAGATTTAATAGTATTTACAAAACTGATATCTGTATTAAAAATATATTCTTCAACTTTTTTGTGTCATGCTAGAATTTTTGTATCCATAATACAAGTTCCTTTAGTTTTTTCATAAAAAAATTTTTGTATATATATATATATATATATATATATATATATATATATATATATATATATATATATATATATATATACATGTATATATGTGTATATACAGTATTGGACAAAGCATTTGCAACTAACATCAAACAATGCTAAAAAGTGTTCCTAATTTTATGTCTTAAAAATGAAACAAACTGTATAACCACAGCAAACAGTTCAGGAGTCATAGCATGCCTGGAGTCTGGAGTCATAGCATGCCATGATATGAGCAATCAGCTGACAGATGACACCACACAGGCAGAATTTCGTTGACAAGTGCCATTTTGCAGCATACAAAACAAGTGCAACTTTTTTGGTTTGTTTTATTTTCTCAAGTCTGGTCTGTGTCAACGTCATGGAAGTTTTTTATTAATTAAAGAAAGTATCCAGAAGTTTCCAGAAGCATACAGAAGCTTCCAGAAGTTTCCAGAAGAAGCATCTGGAAGCATCCAGAAGTATCCAGAAACATTCAGAAGCATTCAGATGCATCCAGAAGTATTGAAAAGAAGCATCTAGAATCTTCCAGAACAGGTTCACACAGGTTCATTTTACTATATAAGAGACATGTAATTCATTCAGTATATGGAAGTCAATCAGTCAGTATTATCAAGACAGTTTATCGAAGTGAGTGTTTCATTACATCTATACTGTCCACATCCAACCAAGACGTTGTGTTCCACAGAGCCATATTGTATCATCACAAGGTAAATGTAACACGGTAAGCCTTGAGAAGTGTGGTTATTTATTTTTATTATTTTTATGACTTCAAGTGCAAAAATGTTTCCCGACAGTCTTGGATTGGAACTAAGAGAGAAAATTATTTGCGACTACTTAAGTGGAATGTCATAAGCAAGTATTTGTGATAAATATCGCGTGAAAAAATAGATCGTATCAAGACTATGTTCCAAATATTGTTCCACAGGGAAGTTGGCAGCAGATAACAATGGCGGAAGACCTTGTTCCACCACTTCTAGAGAGAATTCTATGATCGTCAGATCTGTCAAGAAGGATCCCTGGATATCATCAGTTGAGATACAAAAGCAATTAGAGCTGTCTGTACGTCAAGCAGCCGGAAAACGCCTTGATTTACGTTACTGCCATAAGACCAAGAAGCATGGTGGAGGCAATGTAATGGTCTGGGGGTGTTTTTCTGCTAACGGTCTAGGTCTAATACATCGAATCGATGGAATAATGGACCGTTTCATGTATAAAAATATCCTGAAAGGTGTTATGTTACCTCATGCCGAATGGAATATTCCAATAAAATGGGTTTTTCAGCAAGACAACGATCCCAAACACACTGCAAAAGTAGTCAAGCAGTGGTTTCAAGACAACCATCTAATGGTGATGGATTGGCCGCCTCAATCTCCGGATCTCAACCCAATCGAGAACCTGTGGGAGATCGTTAACTGCAGAGTTGATCATGAATGTGTTCGTAATAAGGATGAACTGTTTGAACAAATACAAAAGGCCTAGGCAGCGATTCCACAAAGTTTCATTGATCACCTGATCGAATCTATGCCTTAAAGATGCAAGGCTGTGATCGACAACAAAGGGTTTACCACAAAATATTGATAGCAAAATACAGCTAATATTTTTGATTAATTAATTTTCGTGTACAAATAATGAACTTTGTGATGAATAAAATTTGAAGAACGTTGTCTCTAAACAGTTACATAATTATTTCTCTAAATTGAAAAAATGCAGCACTTTTATACAAAGAAACTAAATTAGCATCATTTTGTTGCACTGGTTTTGTCCGATACTGTATGTATATATATATATATATATATATATATATATATATATATATATATATATATATATATATATATATATATATATATATATATATATATATATATATATATACATATATATATATATATATATACATATATATATATATATATATATATATATATATATATATATATATATATATATATATATATATATATATATATATATATATATATATATATATATATATATATATATATATATATATATATATATATATATATATAATATTTCATAAAAATAGATTCAGAATTCTACATGTCTTTTAAAGTCATTTAAATGTCATTAATGTATATATTTTAGATATCGGCGACGTGGAAGAAAATGTTGACGGCGATGAAGAAATATAGTTTCTTATGTATATTTTTGTGAAATAAAAATTAAGTAATGTTAGTTAAAATGTTTCTTTACTTATTTAATTTAATCCTTTTTTATGACTAATTTAACCGCTGTAACACCTTTGTATCAAGCAAGTCCCATCAAACAAAAAGATATCTAAAATGCATCTAATATGCATCTAAAAACTGATCTAAAAGACGTCTAAATTCACGTCGTGAACGGGACATAAATAGATGTTTATCTTATAGATGTCTTTTAGATGCATTTTATTCGACACAAATAAATGCCTTAGATGCATAAAAGATGTGAAATATACATTTAAAGATGTATATTAGATGCATAAAAGAGCTATTATTAGCTAAAAAATTATCTATTATCTATCTTTTTTAAACGCGCCTTAGACATCTATTTAAAAGACGTATTTTATACATCTAATATGCATCTGGAAGATGTATATTTCACATCTTTTACGCATCTAAGGCAATTATTTGTGTCGAATAAAATGCATCTAAAAGACGTCTATAAGATAGACGTCTATTTATGTCCTGTTCTAGACCTGAATTTAGACATCTTTTAGACCAGTTTTTAGATGCATATAAGATGCATTTAAAATATCTTTTTGCTTGCTGGGTTTGCATTCCTAATCGCTGGTGCCATTACTGTAGTTATGAAAGTACAAAATGAATCTGCATTCGAGCCTCCAGTTTTTGTTTCATAAGGAAGCACTCCAATTGTTGAAACAGTACAAATTAAACTAACATTTTTACCACGATTTGCAGGTGACTGTATAATTGCTGGCGTACCTCTTAGCGAATAACCATATGTGCTGTTAGTGTGCACATTAAAAGTCTAGTTTCATCCAAATGAATAAGTTTTTCATTTGAAATTCCGTTAATTTCGCTTGCAAATGCATAGCGTGCATTAATAATTCGTGTTGAATTTCGTTCTTTTGGCACATGCACAACACGTTTTCTTGATAAACTCAAGCGTTTGAGTTTTCTTGAAATAGTTGGCAGAATCACGTTGAAGCCTGCTGCAGAAAGATTTTCTTTTATTGCTTCTTGCGTGCAAAGATTGTTCTTTTGTACGCATAATTCGATAATACTTTTTATTTGAGCATTTATAGGTCTTTCACCTCGTTATTTATCAGAAAACGACTTGAATGCAGTCATGTCATCGAATTCTCCTCTGTTTAACTTAACGACAAGATTTTAAACTGTACGCTTCGAAAAATTAAGAGAGGTGGAAATGCTTAAGCATTTCAATGTGCTTTTTTGTAAAAATTGTTTTTCGTTTTACGGTTGGTACTGCTATTTTCTATTCCATCCATAGGGTAAATATTTGATATTGATAATTATAAATAATTAAATATTGAATCTAGATAAATAAATAATTAGATAAATAATAACTTAATCAATCAAGAAATTTAATAAAAAAATTACAAAGAACTAATTCTAAATTAAATAAACCATCATCAAATGTAAAAAGTCTTCGTTCTAAGTATTTTTAACCTCGTTTACGATTTTGTAAAACTTTTACGATTTTGTAAAACGCATATAAGAATAAATAAAGGCGCATATAAAAATGAATAAATGCGCATATAAAAATGAATAAATGCGCATATAAAAATGAATAAAGGGGCATATAAAAATGAATAAATGCGCATATAAGAATGAATAAAGGCGCTTATAAAAAGGAATAAACCCAGCAAACAAAAAGATATCTAAAATGCATCTAACATGCATCTAAAAACTGGTCTAAAAGATGTCTAAAATCAGGTCTAGAACGGGACATAAATAGACGTCTATCTTATAGACGTCTTTTAGATGCATTTTATTCGACACAAATAATTGCCTTAGGTGCATAAAAGATGTAAATTATACATCTTACAGATGCATATTAGATGTATAAAATTCGTCTTTTAAATAGATGTCTAAGGCGCGTTTAAAAAAGATAGATAATAGATAATTTTTTAGCTAATAATAGCTCTTTTATGCATCTAATATACATCTAATATACATCTTTAAATGTATATTTCACATCTTTTATGCATCTTTTAAGGCATTTATTTGTGTCGAATAAAATGCATCTAAAAGACATCTATAAGATAGACATCTATTTATGTCCCGTTCACGACGTGAATTTAGACGTCTTTAAGACCAGTTTTTAGATGCATATTAGATGCATTTTAGATATCTCTTTCTTTGCTGGAACTTGTTTGATACAAAGGTGTTACAGCGGTTAAATTAGTCATAAAAAAGGATTAAATTAAATAAGTAAAGAAACATTTTAACTAACATTACTTAAGTTTTATTTCACAAAAATATACATAAGAAACAATATTTCTGCATTGCCGTCAATATTTTCTTCTACGTCGCCGATATCTAAAAAATATACATTAATGACATTTAAATGAATTTAAAAGACATGTAGAATTCTGAATCTATTTTTATGAAATATTATATATATATATATATATAAATATATATATATATATATATATATATATATATATATATATATATATATATATATATATATATATATATATATAATATATATATATATATATATATATACACATACAAAAAAAACCAGTGCAATCAAATGATGCTAATTTAGTTTCTTTGCATAAAAGTGCTGTATTTTTTCAATTTAGAGAAATAACTATATAACTGTTTAGAGACAACGTTCTTCAAATTTTATTCATCACGAAGTTCATTATTTGTACACGAAAATTAATAAATTAATCAAAAGTATTAAAAAAAGTTGATTTCCTTCAGGACAAAACAAGTGCAACTCCACAAAATGTTGACCAAGCTGTATTCATATCAATATTTTGTGGTGAATCCTTTTTTGTCGATCACAGCCTTGCATCTTTAAGGCATAGATTCGATCAGGTGATCAATAAAACTTTGTGGAATCGCTGCCTAGGCCTTTTGGATTTGTTCAAACAGTTGATCTTTATTACGAACACATTCATGATTAACTCTGCAGTTGACAATCTCCCACATGTTCTCGATAGGGTTGAGATCCGGAGATTGAGGCGGCCAAGCCATCACCAATAGATGGTTGTCTTGAAACCACTGCTTGACTACTTTTGCAGTGTGTTTGGGATCGTTGTCTTGCTGAAAAACCCATTTTATTGGTATATTCCATTCAGCATGAGGTAACATAACATCTTTCAGGATATTTTTATAAATAAAACGGTCCATTATTCCATCGATTCGATGTATTGGACCTAGACCGTTAGTTGAAAAACACCCCCAGACCATTACATTGCCTCCACCATTGCATACAGTCTTATGGCAGTCACGTTAATTAAGGCGTTTTCCGGCCGCTTGACGTACAAGCAGCTCTAATTGCTTTTGTATCTCAACTGATGATATCCAGGGATCCTTCTTGACAGATCTGACGATCATAGAATTCTCTCTAGAAATGGTGGAACGAGGTCTTCCACCATTGTTATCTGCTGCCAACTTCCCTGTGGATCAATATTTGGAACATAGTCTTGATACGATCTATTTTTTCACGCCATATTTATCACAAATATTTTTTTGTGATATTCCACTTAAGTAATTGCAAATAATTTTTTCTCTTAGTTCCAATCCAAGACTGTCGGGAACCATTTTTGCACTTGAAGTCATAAAAATAATAAAAATAAATAACCACACTTCTCAAGGCTTACCGTGTTACATTTACCTTGTGATGATAAAATATTGCTCTGCAGAACATAACGTCTTGGTTGGATGTGGACTGTATTGATGTAATGAAACACTTGTTGTATTTCACTTCTGGTATTGATGTTCTTCGATAAAACACTTTGATAAAACTCACTTCGATAAACTGTCTTGATAATACTGACTGATTGACTTCCATATACTGACTGAATTACATGTCTCTTATATAGTAAAATGAACCTGTGTAAACCTGTTCTGGAAGATTCTAGATGCTTCTTTTCAATACCTCTGGAAGCTTCTGGATGCATCTGAATGCTTCTGAATGTTTCTGGATACTTCTGGATGCTTCCTGATGCTTCCTCTGGAAACTTCTGGAAGCTTCTGCATGCTACTGGAAACTTCTGGATAGTTCCTTTAATTATTAAAAAACTTCCGTGATGTATGCTGCAAAATGGCACTTGTCAACGAAATTCTGCTTGTGTGCTGTCACCTGTCAGCTGATTGCTCATATCATGGCATGCTATGAGTCCAAACTCCTGAACTGTTTGCTGTGGTAGTATAGTTCGTTTCATTTTTAAGACATATAAAATTAGGAACACTTTTTAGCATTGTTCGATGTTGGTTGCAAATGTTTTGTCCAATACTGTATATACACATATATACATGTGTATATATATATATATATATATATATATATATATATATATATATATATATATATATATATATATATATATATATATATATATATATATATATATATATATATATATATATATATATATAAACAAGAAGATTTGTATCTCAACCAGATACAATAATAAATACATGTATATATATATATATATATATATATATATATATATATATATATATATATATATATATATATATATATATATATATATATATAAACAAGAAGATTTGTATCTCAACCAGATACAATAATAAATACATGTATATATATATATATATATATATATATATATATATATATATATATATATATATATATATATATATATATATATATACAAGAAGATTTGTATCTCAACCAGATACAATAATAAACAACAATTTTTTTATGAAAAAACTAAAGGAACTTATATTATGGATACAAAAATTCTAGCATGACACAAAAAAGTCAGAGAATATCTTTTTAATACAGATATCAGTTTTGTAAATACTATTAAAACTATACCTCGTAAAACACTCCATATATTTACTAGATTTTCTAAGCTTATCTTTTCCCCGTTTTCTTTTCGATTTAATTTGGACTGTAACTGATTCGAAAATAACCTGATAAATATTTTAACAATAAACTGAAATATATAAAGATTTTTATTTTAATATATGTAATAAATTAAAGTATATTTTAATATATGAATGCTTAAAATTATGAAAGGTAAAAGCATTAATTTTGAAAATAAAATGCTAAACAAGGTTTAGCATTACACTTACTTTAGCACATAAACAAACTTAAACACTCCCGAGTTTATCAATTTGTCATGTTAAAAGTAAATCCATAAAAAATAACGGTCAAAAAGAATTGCTTTTGGTCCCTTTTAATCATATTTCTAATAATTAATAAAAACATAATCATTTACCTTTACATGATCAAAAAAACATGTTCTTTTGGCTTTCCACCACTAATCTTTTTTAAACTATCAAGCTGAAATAAATGTAATAAAAACTAGTGTAACTTAAATTTCTTTACAACATATTGAGTCTAACACAAGCTAGTTATTTTAGTTCATTTACAAATACTTTTTATTTAGATTCTAAACTAATAAACCAAATTTAAACAAACTTATTAAAAACTAAGATAATTAGATTATACCAAATTAGTATACTCGGTTTTATCTTTTAGTTTATTATCCAGTGTAACCACTTCGTCCACCGATTCTAGCAACTTCACCCCAGTAGCCTGAAACTTAACTTCTATAACTTCTTTTAAAAGAACTTTTATTTCTGCAAGCTCCTTGAGAATAACATTTTGCATCTCTACAAACAAGAATAAAAAGATTGATTAACATATTTAGCTCATAAAACCAAATAGCAAAACAATGAAATAAGAACTTTAAAATTAAAATTATGCTTGAGTAACTTAAACTAAAATTCCAAAAACACATGTAAGTTTTTTTATTACTCCATCGCAGAAGTTGCCATAATATTTTGGAAAACCTACTTTTTAAATCAGCTAAAACTTTATCCTGTAAAAGGCTACGATATTAAAGAATTTTAACTACTACTAAAAGTAGTAGTTAAAATTCTTACTAAAAAAACTACTAAAGATAAAATGCTAAACACATGATTTATCGGATCACAATATTATAAATAATCCATTTCTATTCTTTTATACCTATCTTTTACAATTATTTTAATACAAAAACAAATTAATAAAAAAGACCTCCACATTAACATTCAGTGGTGTAAAAACCAAAATTACTCACATTAAAACTTAAAACTCTTTGACAATGTGAACTTTGCTTGGTGTTCATCAATAAAATGTGAAGAAAAATTATCTTTTTCAATCTTTGAACCTGATAACAACTCTATTCAAAAGAAATAATTATAATTAGAACTATAAATAATCCCTCAACCATACCTGTTACTTAATTTAATCTTTCAACCAATTTTGTACTCTTTCAATTTCTGAATTCAAACAACTTCAGCATGCTTTCAATTAGTTTTCAATTTTCATATCAAGTTGATTAAAGGATTATTTAATACAATAAAATGCTGTCAATGATATAAATATATGTAACCAACTTAACAACATTACATATAATAGGACACCCAAATAGTTAAAATAAAAGAAAAATCTTAGTAATACATAAAAAAGACTAATAGCTAGATAGATATTATTCAGATCAAATTAAACAAGAATCTATTTCAGTTTATAAACCATTAAGAAAAAATTATGATATTTATGTTATACTTTTAGCATTGGGCTTATTCATAATAGGTGGCGGAGGTTCTGGCAATGAAGAGCGGTATGATTTGTTATTCTTATTTTTAATACTTTCTTTAACATATAACTCATCTGATGTAGAAAGTTGTATTCTTCACAACATGAAAATGAATCTAATTATAAAACATTTTGCTACAAAAAAGTAATTAAGTTACTTTTAAAAAAAATACACAACAAGTTAGATACTGACTATCTGTTATCTTACACTTTATCAATGGAAATTTGTGCCATTCTTTTGTTGACAAAAGGTTGTTTTTCAGTGCATGATTATAATTTTTTTTTGGGACAATAAATTTGTTGGTATTCTTTGTCAATCCACTTGTTTAGTGCATAATTACTTGGTTAGAAAAACATGCAGAAAAACTTTCCTTTAAAGTTGGGTTATGCTTATACTCATTAGGCTTTTGGTCATAAGAGTATTCATTGTACAAAATCGCTGACTCATGATGGTCAAAATATTTTTTTAGATTTTCGCAAGATAAGAATTCATTTCTTTTAGAAGTTCCAACATTCGATTTTTTTTCCATATGTACTGATGAAAATTCTAGTATTTTTTAATATTCTTTTTGGACACGTCTACTGCGTCTCTTTTCGTATGCCCTTTTTGTAAAAGACTTAAATGAATCTTGGTTTCTCGATAAAAACAATAAGTGCACAACCAATAAAACAATCTTTTGTGTTATTAAAAAACACTCATATTATGAGTGTTTTTCTATAACACAAAAGATTGTTTTATTGGTTGTGCACTTATCGTTTTTATCGAGAAACCAAGATTCATATATGAGTATATATATATATATATATATATATATATATATATATATATATATATATATATATATATATATATATATATTTCTATATATATATATATATATATATATATATATATATATATATATATATATATATATATATATATATATATATATATATTTCTATATATATATATATATATATATATATATATATATATATATATATATATATATATATATATATATATATGTATATATATATATATATATATATATATATATATATATATATATATATATATATATATATATATATATATATATATATATATATATATATATATATACTCATATATGAATCTTGGTTTCTCGATAAAAACGATAAGTGCACAACCAATAAAACAATCTTATTAATTATATATAATTAATAAGATTGTTTAATAAATAATAAAACAATCTTATTAATTATATATAAAAAGATAATGTAATTAATATATATATTAATTACATTATCTTTTATTCTAGAAAAAAAAAATATCAACTTGAAAATATTAATTTTGTAATATTTCTGCAAAATAAATTTCAAATCACAAGGATTTTAGCGAACATGCTAAGCATCAAATCATCGAAATATTTTGTGAACTATAATAGCATGTTATTTTATTATTTAAAATTTATCAAAAGAAATAATCATTAATGTTTTCCATAGGTTAAAATCTTCATGCTTTTTTCGTAATAAGTTTAAGTATGGTTTTTAAATGGCGGTCATTTATAATTGTCGCTCCGTAAAATTAGTTATATTTTTTTCTTGTTTTTATAACAAATCTATATAAGACATCTAATAGACATCTAAGTTTAGATGAAAAAAAAATTATCTATGCGCGATCTATTTTATGTATCTAATATGCATCTAAAACAGAGCAAAAATAGTATCTCATGATCCAGACGTCTTTTTGATCTCTAATATACGTCTAAAATATATGTATCGGCAATAGATACAAATTAGACCAATTTTAGACGGTCTAAAAAACGTCTATTGTTTGCTGGGTTGTTGTTTAATTTGAATAAAAATTTATTCTAAATTATAATCCGAATTGGCAATCCTATAAAGCTAATCAAAATCAGCAAAGCAATAAAAAGAAACTAAACGGAAGATTCATGTTTATTGTATACCAACACATACCCTAAAATGACACGTGTTTGCGTTTTTTTGCTTTGTGTTGCATTTTTTGCAGTTTTTTTTTTTTTGATTTTTTTTTTTTGATTTTGTATCTAAATCTTTTGCTTAATTATTACCTTATAAATTTTTAATTTTAGCTTATTGATGCGCGACCAAAGACAGCTCAATTGAAGGACTCTAAAAAAAGTTCAGAACTTGTCAAGTATTTATATATTTTTTATTTTTTAATATTAAAAAAATATTTAAGAACAACCAAAAAATTAAAAAGAAATTATACACAATAACAACATATTACTATGTAATGATAAACTTCAAACTATTAATGATTCAAAATTTAAGAAATAATAAAAATATTATATAGTTAATGTTTGTTAAATTTTGAATCGTTTATAAATGTTATATTATAATTTTTAGAAGATCATTGAGAGAAGTGCTTTTTGGCTACCCTGTTGTTGTTTTTTTGACTCATAAAAAAAATATTTGTTTGTAATTTTTTTTTAAATTTAACAAAAGTTTTAAAAATATGTAAAAGTAATTTTAGTTTTTTGTTTTTGATAATAGTTTGAATGGTCCTTCATTTAAGTTTTATGTTTTTGATAATTGATAAGTAGTCACAGGACCTATAAAAAGAGTCATTTAAACGTTCAAAAATCATCTAAAACGTTCAAGAGATGTTCAAAAATAGTCCAAAACGTTCAAAAGACGATTTCTTTACATCGTGTGGCTACTGGGAATAGCTTGGACGATCCTTCATTTTAGTTTTTTCTTCATAATAGGTTGAATGATCCTTCATTGGGGCAAAAAATTATAAACAGGATTAAAAAACCTTTTGAACATGTGATCAATAGTTTAAAAAATGGTATTGCTCAAAAAAGGTAAAAACGTTTAATTTTTAATTGTTTATATATAAAAAAAAATTGACAAAACTTATAATTATTGATTTAATTTAAATTCTTCATATTAAAAAAGCATTACTAAGAATTCTTTGACACCATATAGAGTATTTAAATGAGGTACAAAGTAATCTTTTTGCAAATCATGATGTTATTAGTTACTGATGATGTAATTGTTTACTTGCTGTTTTTACACATGCAATAAACAAACCTGACTATCAAACTATAATTTTTTGTATGAAGATTTTTTTTATCAATTTATTTGAAAAAAGTTGAAAAGTCACAAGTTTATAATTTTACAAGAGTAGGTTAGGTGCCACTTATATAGTTAAAACTAGTAAATTTAGTTTCACCTTAAAAAAATAAGCAAATAAATATAAATAAACAGCAATAATAATCAATAAAAGCATTAAATTAGTTTATAAATAATAATAACAATAAAGATAAAATAAATTAAATAATGGCACGGTGCGGCCGTGGCGAAGTGGTTAGAGCGCTTGCTTCATAAGCAGGAAATCCAGGTTCAAAATGAGCTTTGGACATATTTTTGCGTCACGGTAAGGAAGAAGGCGTAAACTTCCTGGTTAAACGCACTTCCGCGGAGTTCCGTGACAAGAGATATATATACGGAGTTCCGTGAGATATATATATATCAAGACAATAAATGTTAGAACACACAATTAATAACAATAGCAAACAAAAATAAATAAAAGCAAGCTTTACGCATACGAAAAGGTATAACACCAAAACTACAAAATAAAAATGCAAACACAATTACTTCTACAAAATTAAATTAAATTAAAAGTAATAACAATCTTTAGTTATTACTGCCAAAAAAAAAAATGCATAAAATTTTATAAATTAAGTTTATTTGTATTTAAAACTAAAAAAATATTTTTTGTTTTTAAAATTGAATGTTTAAATATGCAAAATAGTTTGAAATTTATTTTTTTATTTTGGTAGACTATCTATTAAAACTACGATTTTAAATTAGTGAGTTCTATACGTTCGTAAATATTAAATTATTAAGGATAGACAAAGTGAGATATATTGGGATAAACGAGTTGTTGTGCAAAACATCAACTGATTTATTTAGTTATAAAGGCTTATGAAAATATTGTAATATAATACTATTTCTTTTAAAAACAAAGTATTTTTAAATGGTTATTTTTTGCATAATTATATATTTAACAAAACATGTTGTTAAAATAGGAAGTAAGTAAGTAAAACTGTTTAAATATGATAAAAAATATCATTAAATTTGTGTGGTGCAAATAAACATTGGAGTGTAAGACTAATTTAAAAAAAAAATAATTAAAACGTGTTTATGATTTGTGTGCTTGGATACTCATAAATCATTAAACCTGAAAATCGCTTGCCTAGTCTGGAACTATTAAATCAAAAAGTTGGTCTATCCGTCCTTCCAAGATGATTTGGATCCACCTAACCAAAAAAAAACAACTTCATCTCCCCTCGCAACCTTCCCTTACTAGATAGTCAGGATATATATATCCATCCCTGATGACAAGAACGTATTACAACAAGAAATTCGTATAAACTTATGGATGAAGCGCTCACAAATTTTGATATTTTTTAATTATCGATTTATATTAATTAAGATCATTTAAATTCACATCCTAAAGTATTCTAATAACGCTCTTCTCAAAAGTTCTCTTTTAGATTTAAAGTTATACACACGCTTTGATGATTCGGAGCATTGGTCACACTCCTAATAGCATTCTAATTTTGTTTAAGAAAATAATGAGGTGGTGTTCATAGTATAACCTTGGAGGTGTAATATAATCTTGGAGGTTGTGTGCAACCTTTCATTCTATAGAAAGTCTGCAGTTTGAAAAAATCTTTATATAAGTTTTTGTTTCGTGAATAAAAAAAAAATGAAATAGATAGTATGTCAATTACATAAAATGTTTATAAATAAGAACTATTTTTATTCAATTCAACTATTTGTTTAATGAGTTCAATTAATATACTGACTTAAAAGTCAAAGTAAAACGTCAAATTCCAATAAAATAAAGGTCAATTTGAAAATTTAAGTTAAATTAAATTGCCACTGCTGATGGTTTATGTTTGAAATAAGTATTTGTTCAAATCAACAACTATGTTTTTAAAATACCAACCGTTATTACACCAAACTCCGTTTCCAAAGTTGCAAATATACCAAACTCCGTTTGGTATAATAACAACTGAATGTTGAAAGGTTATTTTTTATTGCTAATTTTACTTTTAAAATTTATAAGAATTAAAATGATTTTATTTTTTATTGATTGATTTTAAAAAGAAATCTACTAAATTCAATAGCAAAATGATATTATTAATAGCAATTAAAAATATTTAAAATATTACATTCACTATTAAAAATATTTATAAACATAAAAAAACTATAAATAGAATAACAGTACAAAAGAAAAATTATTTACTTTTTCTTATTATAGGAAACAAAACCCCCAAGAAGATGCTACTTGAATGGTTATTGTTCTTCTGGTAAAAAAGAAATTACGCAAAAAAATTAACGAAATAAAAATTAACAAGACAACAAAACTTGTATTTTTTGATACTGCTTTTATTTACGGATATTTTTTATACTTGTCACGAACTTTAATTTTATTCTGCTAATGTGATTTATGTTCAAACAAAACATTTTTTTTTATAAACAATGTGAAAGAAGAAATCAAAGTTATAAAATTATAGTTATTTTTTACTTTTAAAATGTGAAAGACAAAAACTGTATGCCCTCGTTGATTTTATTTACATATTTAAATGAACGAAACTTTGAAATAGTGAAGTTAGATTCTAATGATAATTGTTTACAGGACATCAGAGTCCTTGGTTTTTTGTAGAAATCCCCGTGGTCAGGTAGATTCCTACGTGGACATCAAATTATTAGCTTTTTATATTTTTCTGCGAAAAATTTTTTCTCTTACTCTTTTTTGGTTAAAATTTTTGTTTTCTCTTTTTCTCATTTTATCTCATCCTTTCATTCTACCTTTTTTTTCTTTTTTCTTAGTCTTCCTCCTATATCTTTGTTCTGATTCCAAATTTTTAAATAATATTGTTCCTTTTACTTTTTTTATTATTACTTGTATTATTGTAATTTACTTTTTTTATTATTCCCTTGTTTAAATTTTTTTTTTTTTTTTTATTTGTTTATTTTATGAAGGTGTCACTCCATTAACTTGTTTTGAACTATATGAGTGACACCGAACCTAACTTTGTAAATTATAATTAATTTTTTAATTTTTAATTTTATGGTTAAATAAATGGATAAAAATACGTACTGTTCACGAGGCGATTAGTGTATATACTAGTTTAATGTAAATAATATAGTTGTATTATAAACGTCTCTGAGCGTCATATATTGATGTTAGAGATTTGTATATAGATCATTATAAAGTTAGAAAATACCTATAATATCTCTCTTGGGGAAATATTGTATGGTATAAATAATCGTGTATAAATTTATTAAAGTAGCGTTTTGTTTGAGTTTGCTATAAAACGTGCTAATCGAAATATACAATGCTGAAATAAGTCACGTATTATTATTGAGTTTAGTACGCCCAACGCGCTTTCACACAAACGTTTTGGTAGCAGAGGGTAGTTTTCTAACAATTGAACACAAAAATGAGCTATATTGAAAGTGAAAGTGAGTTGGAAGGAGTTCATCATATTCGGATGGATCAGCTAAAACGAGCTAAAGCGAAGACAAAAGCGACGCTTACGAGAACGAGAAGAACACTAATGGAATAAATTTATTGTGACCTTCCGAGCAGAAACGATATTCGCGAATGTTGAGAAAAACTTGATGTGGCACATTCGGCTGCAACAAAGACAATGGATTACCTTTCAGTTGAGTATCGGAAAAATAACGAACTCGAAATGGCGACCGAGGTCACAAAAGCAATTGAAGTAATAGAGTGTGCGAAAGCAGACGAAATGACGCATGAATATCTTTACTCTCAAAAAGATAGGGGATGGTGGCGAACGTAAATGTCAACTTGAAAAGATTGGTCAAAAAATGAAAAATAAAAATAGCATTAATAAAGTTGGTTATGAACAACATGGTATGGAAAAATAGAAATGAGATCAATGCGTTGTGGATTAATGGATAATAGATTGATGGATGATATATATAAAACATTTGATGCAAAATCGGCAAATTGAATGGGATGAGTTGAAAAATGATCAACTGGATGCAACAAGTCAAATGGCATGTTGAAATTGTTGATGTAAAAAAGGAGTATCAAACACGCCCTGTTGTAACTGGTTGGCGAGATGAATAATTTAAAATAACGGAGTACTGTAAAAAAGGTATTAACTTTTCACCGACCAATAACGACGAAAGTACGAAAAGAGAAATTGGACAAGACTTATGGAGGCACTTATCTAGAGTCAATTCCTGTATTCTCTGGAAATAAAACGCAATACAAAAATTGGAAGGCAGCGTTTAAAGCAAGTATTGATAGAGCTCCACCTACACCGTAATATAAACTCTTGCAACTACGCCAGTACTTATCAGGAGAAACTTCAAAAGTTGTTGAAAGTTTGGAGTATTCAAAAGCTGCCTACGAGGCTGCAAAAGATCGACTCGAATGAAAGTATGGGGGCAAACGACCACAATTTGCATTGTATTTGGAGAGAGTGGAAAACTTCATTCTAGTAAAACCAAACAACCCAACTGATCTTGAAAACTTTGAGAATTTAAAATTTAAAGAATTGGGAAAATTCGAAGAGTTAACAGATGGCTCACTCTACATTTAACTTATGAAGAAGTTACCAAAAACAATGCTAAGTGTATTTTTACGATGGTTATTTAAAAAGCAAAAAAGTCCTTGAGTGGAATCTTTGCGAGAATGGGTTATCAAGAAGCTGAGTTTTATACAGTTGCCCAGGAAACCTTATGTGGTTTGGAAGATACAAAGTATAATCAAGAAAAACCCTTTAAAATCTTTAAAGAAAAACAAAGAACATACTTTAGAGAAAAGCTCAAAGACGATGAAACAAAAACGTGCGAAGTTTGTGATGGTAAACATGAAGTTTGGGAATTTGAAAAATTCAAATCCATGGCAGTAAGTAAAAGATGGGAACAAGCAAAGTTTCATCATCTATGTTATTGTTGTTTGGGTAATGATCATGTTGGAAACAAATGAAAGAAATCAAGAAATTGTGGAACCGATGGTTGTCAGAAAGTTCATAACAAACTATTGCATTTAAAGAAACGAACGAGGAAGAAACAACTCTTCTTACCAAGTTTTCAAGCAAAGATCAAAGTCAAGATGTGGCTATGAGAACTTTATCTTTCATTTTTAACAAATGGAAAACTGTGAATAAAAGTTAACGCTCTATTGGATGATGCTAGTACCCAAACCTAAAACAGAGATGTAGCTGCAGAATTAGGATTACAAGGAGTAATGAAAAAAATTAAAATTAATTTACTCAATGGTAGAGTAGACACATTTCAAACAATGCCGGTTGAATTTCAGTTGCAAAGCATTGATGGTAAATTGAAAAAGAAGATAAATGCTTTAAAAGTTGATAGAGTTACGAGTAACATGCAAGTGGTGGATTGGAATGAGTATAAAAACCAAAGGAGTCACCAAAGAATATACCATTTTGCAGATTAGGACAGCAATCGATCGTAAATATTTTTATTGGATTGGATAACGCCGAATTTCACTCATCGAAAACAGAAGTTAAAGGACGCACTGGAGATCCAATAGCATGACTTACGCCACTGGGATGGACATGTGTTTGGGCGCTTGGACGTACTTAAAATCATTATACTTGCCACACCAGAACGTTAACTAAAAATATTTCCGAAGTTTAAAAAATTAATGAAACACTAAAAACATTTTGGGAAATCGAAAATGTTCATCCAACATTAGAAACGCAAGCTGGAAGTGTTGAAGATAAAAAGGCCCTAGATCAAGCAAAAAATTCGACAAATTATGTGAATGGGCGATATCAAATTAGCATTTCTTGGAAAAAAGATCCAAAATTGTTACCAAATAACTATGAAATGGCAGTAAATTGTGGAATAAGTACGGAAAAACGGCTTAAAAGAACACCGGTGGTATTGGAAATTTACAAAGAAACAATACGGATTTACTTAACAAAAGGTTATAACAAAAAAGTAAGGAAAAATCATTACAAAAATTAATGAATCCTCCCACACTTTAGCTTTGTAAAGTTGGAAAAGAAGACCACAAAAGTTAGAATCGTTTTTGACGCTGCTGCAAAATGCAAAGGTGTTTCGCTGAATGACGTCATCCATCAAGGACCAAAACTGCAACGAGATCTCTGTGTCGTTCTGTTGCAGTTCCGAAGAAACGCAGTCGCTTTGCTGGGTGATATAACAGAGATGTACTTGCAAATTGAGCTGAATCCGAAAGATCGAAGAGACCACAGATTTCTTTGGCGAGATCTAGAAGCAAATAAAAACCCTGAGTTATTTGAATTTACAAAAGTTGTATTTGGTGTTAATTCCAGCCCTTTTCAAGCAATACAATACAAACACATGCAGAGAAATATAAAAAAAGTTTCTACAGGCTGTGGAGACTGTTGATAAGTCTACATATATGGATGACAGTAAGGATTCAGTTGAAACCGAAGAAAAAGCAATTAAACTATATAATCAACTTACACAATTGTGGAAAAAAGCGGGAATGACCGCAAGAAAATGGATTTCTAATTTAAAGACAGTGATGGAATGCATTCCTATTGAAGCTAGACCAGCAAAAATAAACATAAAAATAGAGAACTTACCGACAGTGAAAAAACTAGGCGTATTTTGGGAAGCAGCCGAAGATATGTTTACATTTAGTTACACTCTACCGTCAAAACCAGTTACGAGTAAACGGCTGCTCTTAAAGTACATCTCAAAACTCTTCGATCCACTTGGATTCTTTTCTCCTTTCGTCATTCGAGCAAAAATATTATTTCAAGAACTATGGACGTTAGGAGAAGATTGGGATGAAACGCTACCAGACAAAATAAAACAAAAGTTGGATATCTGGTTTAGCGAACTGAAAAGTATTCACCAATGTGAAATACCACGTATTACAAACAATAATAAAACCATTTATTCAATTTTTCACGTATTTGTCAAAGCTTCACAAACTGCTTTTGAAACAGTATGTTATTTAGTTTATGAATGTGAATTTGGTGAACGTCAAGTTCTTATGTTTTGTCAATTACTCGTGTCGTTCCATTAAATTCAGTTAACACTCCAAGATTGGAGTTAACGAGTGCAGTATTAGGGTTAAAACTTGCGCTCTCCGTCATAGAAGCTTTGCCTTGCACAATAAAAATGGAGAATGTTACTCTGGTCGGATAGTTTGAATACGTTATCCTGAATTAAAAATCCAAGTTAAAAATTTAAGACCTCCGTTGCAAACAAAGTTGGAGAAATCCAGTTTACTCAAATCCGAAACAATGGCGTTACGTACCGACAGGGTAAAACCCTGCGGATTCGTCATCTAGAGGAGTAAAAATAAACGACTTACAAAAAAGTAACTTGTGGTGGACTAGGCCTGATTTTATCCAACAAGAGGAATCCCAATGGCCAACAAAGGAATTTGAAGAAATCGAAGACAAATTAATTCTAGAAGTAAAGAATAATTTTACTTTGATGACTATTAAATCCAAAAAAAATAGCGATGACTGGCATTTGGAACCAACCCGTTACTTAAGATGGAGAAAGTTAAAACGAGTTTTAGCCTGGGTACAAAGATTCCAACATAACTGTTTTGAAAAACGCTTATCATCAGGAACACTCTCAACGGAAGAAATTAATGATGCAGAAACAAAATTAATAATAAGTGCTCAAAAAAGAATATACGCGGAAGAGTACGATCAATTGATAAATAATAAAGGAATTTCAAAAACAAGTTGCTTATTAAAATTATCACCACGAATAAATGAAAATAAAATGTTAAAATGCGACAGTCGATTAAAAATGATGAGTTTCTCTCATTCAATACAAGATACCCAATTATTCTGCTGAGACATAACCACATAACCAAGTTGATCGTAAAAGATTGTCACGAAGCAGGACAGCATATATGAAGTGTAAATCATTTCTTGGCGGAGTTGTCTACAAAGTATTGGATAGTATCAGGAAGAGAAGAGATGAAAAAATGGGATGCGGAGTGTGCAGAATGCAAGCGAAGAAAAGCAAAGTCAGCAACGCACATAATGGCACCAGTACCAAAAAAACGTTTGCAGTTTAGTATGAAAGCCTTTGAAAGAAGTGCTGTTGATTATGGTGGTCCGTTCATAACCATTCAAGGAAGAGAAAAAAAACGGGCAAAACGTTATTTAGCTTTGTTTACTTGCTTGTCTTCACGAGCCGTTCACCTTGAAGTAGCGTTTGCGTTGGACGCCGACTCATTTCCAAATGCGTTTTTTAGGATAAGCAGTCGAAGAGGAACGCCAAAAAAAATAATATCGAATAATGGAAGTAACTTTGTATTAGCAAACAAAGAGCAAAAAAGTTGCACTGATGGTGAAAAAAAAAAGAATAAACGAGGCAACAAGCCATGTTGATATTAAATGGCATTTTAACCCACTAGCAGCCTCTCATTTCGGAGGAGTTTATGAAATCATGATATAAGCCGCAAAACGAACAATTTATTCCCATTCTCAACTAGGAAATGCGGATATTACTGACGAAGAACTTATTACAGCATTTACCGGGGCAGAAAAACTTATAAACTCACGACCATTGGTTTATCAATCGAGTGATCCTAAAGACTGCCCACCCCTTACACCAAATCATTTTTTATACGGACAGGTGGTAAGTTCGCCGCTGATGCAGTGAACATTACTTCATTCAACCCAAAAAGAAGATGGCGACGAGTCCAAGAATTATTAAAACATTTTTTGCATTGCTGGATAAAAGAATGGTTACCGATGCTTAGGCCACGAAAAAAAAATGGAATTTTTGGTCGAGTTTGGCCACTTGGTCGAGTAACTGAGGTTTTCCCTGGAAACGACGGGTTACTGCGAGTCGCCAATGTTCAAGTTAGGAGGTTTATCTTGAAACGTCTGATAACCAAGTTGTGTCCTCTCGAGCCGAATAAAACAGAAGATATTGACCATTTAGTCAAAAGGGAGGAGTATGTTCACAAAGCGATTAGTGTAAATAGTAGTTTAATGTAAATAATATAGTTGTAATATAAACGTCTCTAAGCGTCATATATTGACTTTAGAGATTTCCTTCGCTAATGAGGCAATGAGCGAATTTTGTATATAGATTATTATAAAGTTAGAAAATACCTATAATATCTCTCTTGAAGAAAATATTATATGGTATAAATAATTGTGAATGAAGAAGCATTTTTTTGAGTTAGCTATTTAACGTGCTAATCGAAATATATAATGCTCAAATAAGTCACGTTTTATTATTGAGTATATATATATATATATATATATATATATATATATATATATATATATATATATATATATATATATATATATATATATATATATATATATATATATATATATATATATATATATATTACAAAAAAATAATTACTTTTATTATTTTACGACTTATGACATATGTCATTTATTTTTGGTACACGCCTAATTTTAAAAAACTATTTTTTATCCTGTTACTCCAATGCCTTATCAGCAGTTAAAACTTTTTTATAATAAGTTGTAAGTAATTATACGGTTTACTATATAGAATAACAAGAAAACTTTTGACCTACTTATAAATCTTTAACTTGCTGAGAGGGTGATTCGGAACAACAATATCCTGGGTCGAACTAGCAGCCTGAGAAAGCTATTAAAGGCCTGATAACAAAACTGTATACTTATGTTTTGAGTAGCTGTCTTCTTCTAGCTGACTATTTATCTCCCATTTCCCACTCAGGATATTCTATATCCAGAAAAAATATCCTGAATTGGATAGAATAATCTAGCATATTCGATGCAAGCTCTGACCATGCATCATTGAAATAAATTTTTAAGTTACTTATTTTTTATTTTTTGATCCTTCCACAAGTCCTAACGGTTTTATCACATATCACTGAGAAACAATAGATAGCCAGATAGTTGAATCCTTATTCCTTATCAATAGATAGTTTTAAAACATTCCCTGAACAATAAGCCTTACTGGCTGATGTGTTTAGGTCGCAGCATTCTAAAGTGAAACGCTATGGTTCTTCTACATTTCTTTTTTTTTTTCTTTTTTTAACTTTTTTTTTGGTTTTGAAAATAGAAGATTAATAAATATTTTTACTTTTATAAAGTTTTTATTTTATTTAAAAATTGCATTGCGTCAAAGTCTCCTTAATTTTGATTTATAGCATTTATTTTCCGTTTTATAAAAATATTTATTCAATGAATAACTTTATATAATGGAAAACAAATGAAATTTATAAATGTTTTAGTTTAAATTAGAAACTTGGAAAGATTTAAAAGAAAATTAGTATAAAAGCGACAGGAATGAAACGTTGTACTTCAGCAAGCTAAACACTTCAGCAAATAAGATACACTAAACTGAAAATTTTTAACACTGTTTAAAAAACAAAAGATGGAATGCAATGAATTTCATCCGTTTCTAAAAAGCTACAGATGACCGGAAAAATGTTTAACAAAGACTCTTAATTAAGAAAAAAATTTTAAGCCTGTACCCGTTTTTTTATAGAGGTTTCAAAACTTTACTATGAGAAGTTATAAAATATTGAGCATTAGTTATAAGTCGCGCAACGACTGGCGAAACATTTAATAATTTTAAAGTTTTTTTATAACTTATTTTTTTATTCATTACTTTAAAAGGTAGACATATAAGTTTTCAATTTTTTTTTTCTACCGTTTACCTAAAAATATTGAAGGAAGGTAAATATAGGAATGGTAAGGGCAGCTGAAAAGGAAGGGCAAAAGGAACATACGTTCCCCTTTTGAATCTCGTAACATTTAAACGGACGCAGTTTACCGTGGACACCTATTGGACTTAATAATAATTATTAGTTATTAATAATAACTAATAATAAATAACTTGCTAAAGCTTCAACGCGGTGTCATGCAACAACTTATTTATAAGACTCATGCATATAACATTTGGTGCCAACTATTAAACTGGATTTCTTTTTGCCTAGCTAATGGACAACAACGAGTAATAGTTCGAGAATAAACGTCCTAGTGGTAAAGAATAAGTGCGTTCCTCATGGATCAGTACTTGCATCAATGCTATTTATGTTCTTCCTCAATGACTTCCCATACTGCATTTATTACCATAACAAATTATACGCCGATAATGGCAAGATCATATGAGTTATCGATGTCAATGAACTTTCCTCAACTATGAAAAACTGCAAGACACCAACATCGCTGTAAATTCGTCCCATAACTGCCGTGTGAATTTCAACATCAAGAACTGCAAAGTAATACAGGTTGGCTGTTGCAAAAGCTATTTAATAATACCATAGTTGACATTGATGGTAACGAGCGCAATCTAGTTTTAACGAGTATTGAGCGTGACCTTGGAATACTGATGCTTACTATCCTCAATGTATAAGTTACTGATGCTTACCAACCTTAAAGTATACA